TTGAAGCCACTTCGTTCAAGGCCCTCATCTTACAAGTGAGAAAGCTGAGGCCTAGAGCAATGACAATGAGTTTTTGGCAGAGTTTGGACTAGCATCAGAAACTCCCGACTTCAAGTTCAGTGCTCTCTCCACCCCCATCCGAAGCCACTCTCGGCATCTCCTTGTATTTGTCCACCACAAATGGTCTCCTGTATAGACCAGACAGGTGAAGCATAAGTGAGGAATTGGAAAGGGGCAGGGTATGGGACTGAGGGCCAGTGCCTTCACCCTGTGCACCCAAGGCCGGTAGCTGTGACACTGCCAACGGACTATCAGGTAGTTTACAGAGACCTGAGGCTGGGACCCAGAACCTGTTTGGGACAGGACACATGTTCCCTCTAGTGGTCACTTTGAGCTGAGCTTCTGAATGGGTGAAGAATGGATAGGAAAGAATGGCAGATGATGGAGTGCCACATGTTGTTAAGAGACAAAGGGGCCAGCGGGAAGACTTCTAATTTATATACCTAATCTGTCATTAGAAATCCTGCTTTGAGATTTTTGGTAAAAGTGCAGGTGTTTGGTAAGTATTTGAATTAAAAAAAAAATAGACACAAGTGGATGGGCACAGTGGCTCATGCCTGTAATCCCAGCACTTTGGGAGGCTGAGGTGGGCAGATCATGAGGTCAGGAGTTCAAGACCAGCCTGGCCAACATGTGAAACCCCATCTCTACTAAAAAAAAAAAAAAAATTAGCCAGGCATGGTGGCAGGCACCTGTAATCCCAGCTACTCAGGAGTCTGAGGCAGGAGAATTTCTTGAACCTGGGAGGCAGAGGTTGCAATGAGCTGAGATTGTGCCACTGTACTCCAGCCTGGATGACAGTGCAAGACCCCGTCTCAAAAAATAAAAATTAAAAAAAATTAAAAAGACACAGGGTCTTGCTCTGTCACTCAGGCTGGAGTGCACCGGTGCAATCATAGCTCGCTGCAGCCTCAAACTGCTGGGCTCAGACCTTCCTGCCTCCACCTTCTGAGTAGCTGAGAGTACAGGCTCATCTGGCTACTGTTTTTATTTTTGTAGAGACAAGGTCTTGTTATACTGCCCAGGCTGGTCTCAAACTCCTAGGCTCAAGAGAACCTCCTGCCTTGTCCTCCCAAAATGCTAGGATTACAAGCCTGAGCCACTGAATCTAGCCTAAGTATTCAGATTTTATATATGGGAGGCTTCACTCTTGACCTCTAATTAAGGCCCATAAACTGGCCAGGCACATTGGCTCACACCTGTAATACCAACACTTTGGGAGACCGAGGCAGGCGATCACCTGAGGTCAGGAGTTTGAGACCAGCCCGACCAACATGGTGAAACACCCTCTCTACCAAAAATATAAAAATTAGCTGGGCATGGTGGCATGCGCCTGTGATTGGCTACCTAGGAGACTGAGGTGGGAGAACTGCTTGAACCTGGGAGGCAGAGGTTGCAATGAGCCAAGATTGTGCCACTGCACTCCAGCCTGGAAGATAGAGTGAGACTCTGTCTCAAAAACAAAACAAAACAAAACAAAACAAAACAAAAACCCATAAACCCTTTCCATCTTCCTTGAGGTCATACTGCTTAGACAAATCTAACTTGAACAAATCTCAAACCTGTGGGGGATTAGAGAAGGGGACACATTTGTTTATTTTTCAAAAGGGTGTTTTCCTGTTTATTCCTAGATCTGCCCAAATCAGTACATTTCAGATTAGTATTTCTGATTCTGATGATAGAAACAGCTGAATTCTGATTTCATTGGTGGTTCACTCCTCCTCCCCTTCCCAGAAGCTGTTCTCTTTCTTCAGATAATATGGGTCTACTCGGAAGTACAGTGGGGATATTGAGGGCTGTAGGTTTTCCTGAGGACTACTTCCTCTGGTCTTCTGCCCTGGAGGTCTGCTCCATCGAGGGGCCAGACTCCAGCCTGAGGTCCCTCTCACTGACTTGACTCTTCTCTCTAGTCCAAATGATAGAAGACATCCACCTCTTTCTCAGGATTACAGAGTAAAGACTTGGCTTTCAGTATGTCATTTTCCACAATGACTTGAAGAAGTGTGTCAGCCTGTTCCAGACTGGGCTCTCCCTCAAGGGACTGCCTAGGTAAGGCACGGAGAGCCATCCCAGCTGGCAGCTCAAGCATGGTTTTACTCAGTATAAAGCAGGGAGGGAGAGGCCAGCTGGTAGGTCTGTGGCTGCCTTCCGCAGGTTCTTGGTTACTGAAGTACAGGGAAGCAGAGGCTTCACACTACTGACTCCCTAGGCAAGGAGTGGCCTCTTCCTATTAGGGAATTATTCATTAATCTTCAGCTGCCTAAACTTCAGGGGAGCAAGCAGTGGGTGTCAAAAATGAGAAGGGAGAAAAACTCTTCTTGTTCAGTGGCTGGTATATGCCAGAACCTGTACCGTGAGCTTTGGCTGTGTTCATTTGACACTCACAAAAATTATTAGAAGGAGATAATTACTTTTTTTCTGTTTTATAGGTGAAGAAACAGATGCCCCAAGTGGTACTGTGACTAAGGTCACGGGGCTGGAAATGTGGGATTCAGAGCTAGGTCTCTCTGCCTGTCAAGCCCATGCTGTTCTCGCTGAACCATTCTATTTCCACCTTAGATGGACCCAGAGGGAAAACAAGAGATCAGAACTTGAGGCTGAGGCTGGCGGTGGTGTGGGGGGCTTCTTCTGTCCCCTTGAAGAGCTCATCTCCTAAGCAGGGAGAACGTACTTCAGACAGCCTTGCTTGTCTCCCCTTGCATTTTTTTGCTCTCACTTGTCTGCTTCACACTGAGTGATGCCAGACTCTGGCCATGGTTTGCAGGGAACAGGTCAGTATCTCACCTCACCAGCACCTGGTCATGAGGAGCCGAGTGATGATGACTTTTTCTCCCCTCACCTGGCTCTGCAAGATTCTCCATGGAGATGCGCTGGGAACCATGCTAGATCCCACACTTTTCATGGCAGCATATCACAGTGCCAGTGCAGTCTTTACAGGGACAATGACCATCACCTTCAAGAGGTCTGTTTTCCTTGCCTGGGTTCAAGTTAGGAGCAAGCTGGTATGAGATTATTTGATGTATTATGATGGAAAATATGGATGCAGCAATCTTGATTGCAAAGAGAAGTTTCTACTTTTGGTTTTCACATGAACTAGTCTAAAATTTTTAGACGTTCCTTTTTCATCCGAGGACAAGGTAACAAGCTTGAAGATGGTTGACGTGTTCAAAAATAAAAATATTCTACATAGGATGATGATGAGCTATTTTTGGCCACCTCTGGTTTAAATAAAGCTAACAAAGTTGCCTGTAAATATTTAACTCAATCCACAAATAATTACACAAATAACATTACTTGTCAGGGACAAGCTGCCCCCCAAAACCCTCTCAGCTGACCTCCACCCTGATTGCTCTGCAGCTGCATTCCTAAACTCTTATCTAGGGGCCGCAGCAAGGCTGCCAGACCCGCCTCACTGAGCAAAGCCTGATAACAGCCATCTGGGCAGCACGGGAGAGGTCATGGGAAACAAACCTTTGTTACAGTACGGGTAAACTCTTGTTTTACACATACCTGTAAAATCCTGTTTTTTTAACTGCTGCCACAAAAGTCGCAGGATGATGTTAGTCTCTCACAAGCTGATAACCAATTTGTGCTTATTACAAGCTGATAGATTATCTTAGTCTGGAGACTCCCTTAAGCCCCTCTCACCCCACATAAACCCCTTGTTTTGTAAGTGCAGGGCTGCCTCCTCTGATTGTTACAGCGCAGCCTGGCAGGTCAATAAACTTGCTTGCCTGACTTTAGGTCTACTTGTCCTTTCTCTCGGCCAACCTTACATTACCGTACTTATAATTCCTTATATTTAATTAGCTCTTTAGGAAAACACTTCCATAAACATTCTTTCATTTGATTTTTACAATAATTCTGGGAGGTAGGTAATAACATCTCCAAGTTGACAAATAAGAAAGCTGAGGCGGGCCAGGTATACTGACTCATGCCTGTAATCCCAGCACTTTGGGAGGCCAATGCAGAAAGACTGTTTGAGCCCAGGAGGAGTTCAAGACCAGGCTAGGAAACATGGCAAGATGCCATCTCTACAAAAAAAAAAAAAGTTTTAAAATCAGCCAGGCATGGTGGTGCAGGACTGTCGTCCCAGCTCTCAGGAGGCTTAGGTGGAAGGATCGCTTGAGCCTGGGTGGTCAAGGCTGCACTGGGCCATGATTGTGCCACTGCACTCTGTAAGGTCCGACCACGCCATGGATGCCATGGCAACCCCCGCAACCTGCATGTACACCTCTGGATGGCCTCCTGGAATTAGAAAATCTGATGTAACTGGAAGACCATGAAAAGAGGAAGAAAGAACCCCTTCGGCGCCTACTTAACTCCGAGACAGTCTCTATTGTTCCTTATTCCTGCCTCAATTGATAAGGCCATTGGACCTGGGTCAACCTTGTGACTCCAGAACCCATGACCCCCTCCCAGCTTGCAAAAACCGCCCAAACCTATAAAAGCAACTCCTATCCCACCGCCCTCCACTGACTCTTTTCGGTCTTAGCCCACCAGCACCTGGGTGAATAAACAGCCATATTACTCACAAAAAGTCTGTTTGAAGGGTCTCTTCATTCAGAGCATGAGTTTTAACACCCTCCAGCCTGGGCAATAGAGCAAGACCTGTCTCATAAAATTTTTAAAATAAAAAAAAAAGAAAAGAAAAAAGAAAAAAAATGAAAACAAAACAAAAAAAGCAGGCTGAGTGTGGTGGCTCATGACTGTAATCCCAGCACTTTGGGAGGACAAGGTGGGTGGATCACATGAGGTCAGGAATTCGAGACCAGCCTGGCCAACATGGCAAAACCCCGTCTCTACTAAAAATACAAAAATTAGCTGGCCGTAGTGGCATGCACCTGTAACCCCAGCTACTCAGGTGGCTGAGGCAGGAGAATCACTTAAGCTGAGGAGGCAAAGGTTGCAGTGAGCTGAGATTGCACCATTGCACTCCAGCCTAGGCAATAGAACAAGACCTGTCTCCAAAAAAAAAAAAAAAAAAAAGCAAGCAAGCTGAGGTGAATACACAGCTAGCAGGTGACAAAACCAGGATCAAATACAGAATCAGTGCCTGATTCCAAAGTCCACTTTCTTTTTACAGCATTACTCTGTCTCAGTGGTCTCTTAAGGACACACAGAAAAGAGCAGGAGATATCCTCTACCCTTTAAGGAGGGGAAACGAGGATACGTCAGGAAAATGTGTGTCCTGATTATCTTTCGGCCAGATTGTGAAAGGTAATCTCCTTTACTTAAAGCCAACCGATTACAGAGGTTAGCCACATCTACAAAATCACGGGCAGATCACAAGGTCAGGAGTTTGAGACCAGCCTGGCCAACATGGTGAAACCCCGTCTCTTCTAAAGATACAAAAAATTAGCCGGGCATGGTGGCAGGTTCCTGTAATCCCAGCTACTTGACAGCAACACCTGGATTAGCATTTAATTGAAACTTCACAGCAACACCTGGATTAGTGCTGAACTGAAAACTGGGTATTATAGTCTAGCCAAATTGACACATAAAACTGTTATACAAGATGCTTGCTTATAAATAAAGTCATTCTGCTAAAGATTAAAAAAATAAAACCTTCCACATATGGATAGATCGCAGGTGGGTCCTACTCACCCCTGTGGGAAATTCAGATCAATCAGGACCTGGAAGAACTGTGACCAGAAAATATGTGCTTCTGTTTATAAACTTTTAGCCAAAATGTTGCCTGTTTCCTCATTGCGAAGGCAGCAGGAAAACAAGAGTTTGATTTTTCCAGAAGATGGGGAACTGGTTTGTCAAAATGTTGACAGAGTGACTTGTGGCTTCCATATATTTGATGGCAACACACAAAATGCCACCCCACCTGGGCGGGTATCAGAGCTCCTCTCCCTTCCACTGCCCCTGACAGCTTGGTCCTTGGAGTAGAATCTGAGGCCCCCACTCCTGCAGGAACACATCCATCCCACAGAGTCACCCGCCTCTCCCTTGGATGCCAGCTTGTAAGCCCCTCTAACTCTCGTAGCCCAGTTATCCTTGACTTGAGGGTGAGGTTAGAGGCATGAGTCACCGGCACAGAAGGAAGAAAGGTGTTTCTTTCTTGTGAAGCCCAAAGCAGTGACAGGACCATCCTCTCTGTGGAAGCTTCTGTAAAAGCCCTTAGAATTATTTATCTGCAGTATTCACCCATCCTTGTGATCAGGCAGAGAGCGATGTATCCTCCCCCACCCTCCACCCAGTGAAGACAGTGCACCTGCAGACTCTTAGGCTTCTCTTTCAGGTTGTATGTGTTTCGGATGGGAGCGGATGTTCAGATGGAGAGGGGCCGCCAAGAATTATAGGATGAAGACCATCATAAGATACCCGTAAGACCTGAAAGGCCAGTAGGCATAGAGAGGCTATGAAGATGGACAGCAGAGGAGGTTGTGGCAGAGAGCATGCATGGCATCTCCCCTCTCAATCCTCTACTGGTTTCTAAAAGACAAAGGCTGGCCTCATTGTTTTGGCATCAGTAGAAGAATTTAGATATTTCCAGAAACAGTTCTGGCTCCAGGTGGGTAGAAAGATCTTGATGAGCTGGTTTTCTGGAAGCATGGGGGGTGGGAGCAGTGATTTACCTGTGTGCTCTTCACCATTCCAGCCATCTTCTTACAAATGAAGTGACACAGATGTAAGGCACCACAAGATCCACCTCCTCCCGCTCTGACAGGCAGACAGGAAGCCAAAGTCACTATGTGACCAGCCTCTGTCTCTGCCATTCACCTCCAGCTTCCTCTGTGGACTGCAGCCTTTTCCTTCTCAGAGAGTGGAAACTCCTCAAGATGTCAAGACTTGCTGGGAATAAAGTTTTAAGAGGAGGTTATGTATCCAAACTGATACATGTGTATTTCTTCCTGGGTAGAGGGTGTCTCCAATCCTTGGGATGGGAAAGCATCATGTAACCTGATTATAGAATCCAGAAAACAAGAGCCACTTTGGGTCTTTGAGGGACTCAGTGTGTAATTGGGGGAAGTTAGGTCATAAGAGCCAAATCACCTTCCCCTGACTGCAGATAAATCCATTAAGGCTTGCCTTACTCTAATGACCTTGTTTTGAATTAAGGTCACACACAATGTTTTCTTTTTTTAAAAAAGTCCACTCCTCCAACCTTGCAGTTTAGTAAGTACTGCTCCAAAACTCCCACTCCTCATCTGTCGATGAGTAATGCTCCTTTCCCATGATCATTATACACCTCGGCATCCCACAAGCATCCAGTGGAGAAGATGTGGGAAAAGAAGGGACTGTGGGCTTTAGAGTTGAGTAAGCATGGAGAAACAGACATAGAGGGAAATCTGCCAGCTGCCACCCTTGAAAGCCAGCCCATTTCTTCTGAGCACATAGCCAAGCAGGCATACCTGGAAGGGTGAGGCAGTGGACAGCCACCTTTCACTCTAGGTCCCACCTGTGCTCCACACCCAGAGTGGCCAAAAGCAGTCTCTAAAATATGCCAAGATATGATTTCTCAAAAGTAGGAATTCTTGGCTTATGGAATTGGTGCCGGGAGTGGGGCAGGTGTCAGGGTGGAATTAGGTCTTCCTTTAAAAAGAAGTTTCAGGCTGGGGGATGGTGGCTCATACCAGTAATCCCAGCACTTTGGGAGGCCGAGGCAGGCAGATCATGAGGTCGGGAGTTTGAGACCAGCCTGACCAACATGGTGAAACCCCGTCTCTACTAAAGATATAAAAAAATTAGCCAAGCATGGCAGCGGATGCCTGTAATCCCAGCTACTTGTGAGGTTGAGGCAGGAGAATCACTTGAACCCGGGAGGTAGAGATTGCAGTGAGCCAAGATCTTGCCATTGCACTCTAGCCTGGACGACAGAGCAAACTTTCAGTGCATAGTTATCAACATCAGCACTGCACAAGGAAAATGAACCTTGCAGCTTAGAACAAAGGGTAGCAAAGTATTCAACCACCAGGCAGGTTTGTAATTTTTTAAAAATGTTTATATTTTCCTTAATCCTCTTTGGGAATAATCTCTTCTAGGACCACTTTCTTGCTAGTTCTATGTACCTCAGCAGCACAGGAATTAAGTCTCAAAAAATATTATCTTGCTCCCTAAGTCATCAGTTTCTTTTCTGCTCTAGAGTTCTTGGGTGATGAATGCATGTGGGAAGTTGCGAAGGTTGCTATGAAAAGCTTGGACTTTATTCTGCAAATTCCCAGGGTCACTGAAGGTGTATGCCTACACTTTCAGTAGGAGTGTCAGGATCCCAGCAGTAATGCTTTTCCATGGATCAGCCGAACAGTAACAAGGGGAAGCTGGGAGACCGAAAAAGCTATTGACAGATTCCGGGTGAGCAATAAACCAGAATTTTAACCAACTAGACCAGTGCTATCCTACAGAAATGTAATGGGAGCCACATGTTAAAGCTTAAATGTTCTACTAGCCACACTTAAAAAGAAACATGTGCCGGGCGCGGTGGCTCAAGCCTGTAATCCCAGCACTTTGGGAGGCCGAGGCGGGTGGATCACGAGGTCAAGAGATCGAGACCATCCTGGTCAACATGGTGAAACCCCGTCTCTACTAAAAATACAAAAAATTAGCTGGGCATGGTGGCGCGTGCCTGTAATCCCAGCTACTCGGGATGCTGAGGCAGAATTGCCTGAACCCAGGAGGCGCAGGTTGCAGTGAGCCGAGGTCGCGCCATTGCACTCCAGCCTGGGTAACAGGAGTGAAACTCCGTCTCAAAAAAAACGAAACATGTGAAGTTATTATTTGTTTCAGAGACGGGGTCTCGCTTTGTTGTCCACACTGGTCTCGAACTCCTTGGCTCCCTCAAACGATCTTCCGGACTGGGCCTCTCAAAGTGCTGGGATTACAGGCCTGAACCACCGTGCCCGGCCTGAAGTTAATTTTAATAATATATTTCACCTAACCCAATATACCCAAAATATCATTTCAACATATAAAAATTACTGAGATTTTACCTTATCAGTCTTAGCTATTCAGCGTGCGGTTTATGCATACAGCACACATCAACTCCTGTGCTGTTTTCAGCATTTAAAGGGAAATATGGTCCTGTAAAAACAAAAACACCTGTTTAACGGGAAGCAGATTTAAAAGATTGATTGGTTAATCAATAGCCCCGGTCGCCTAGTGTTACCCCCAACTGGGCAGACCGGGTCTGGATTGTAAATACGTTCAGACGTTCCACGCAAAAGCAAAGTTGCCCGCAGACGCCCCATCAAGTTCTGGGTGCAGGGACCCTGCAGTCCTGGGCGTTTTCACCAGGCGGCACTAAGGACACCCTCACGTGACGACCGTCCCACCCGGAAGCGAAACCTCCCCTTCTACAGAGTTCCTCCAGCTTCCTCCAGCCCGGGATACACAGAACCTCACCTCCAGTGCCGAGGCCTGCGGCGGGGCAGGATGGGCAGGAGAGCAGAGCCGCGAAGCCTGCGGCGCGGGTGAAAAGCGGCGCGTGATTCCCGCGGCGGGATCGTTCCGCGCCTGCTTAAATGTTCTACTAGCCGCAGCCTCGGGACGCGCAGGCCCGGACCCCGGCGGCTGAGTGCTTACAGGCGCAGACGTCAGAGAGCCCGCGGCTTAAGGCGCCTCGTCCGGCTGGCGCCATCCCCCGGCCTTCTTCTAGGTCTGCAGGGCGGGGTCCGAGCGCCCATCCACGGCACCCTGGGCCCAGAGCTCTCGCGGGCCTCCTCTCCAATGATTCAGAACTCACGTCCGTCGCTGCTGCAACCCCAAGATGTCGGAGACTCGGTGGAAACGCTTATGGTGAGGGCACTGCGGGGCAGGAAAGGCAGGGGTCCGAACCGCGGGCTCGGGCGGGAGAATTCGGAGCGTTGCTACGGCTCGGCGACCCTTTTCCGCGCCCCAGGTGCGCTCAGGGTCGAGGATGCAGCGGGAGAGGAGTTTGACTCAGGAGACTGAGAAGGGTGCGGGGAGGGAGGAGGGGGCAGGAGCTGCTGGGCCGGAGTCCCGGTTGAGGGCGGAATTGCCCGGGCCTGAGCGGGGCGCGTGCCGGGGAGTGTGCCCCCGCGGCCCCCACGAGGTGCGGGTGGGATGCCAGGAGTGGCGGAGGTGGGAGGGCCCCTGGGCAGATTTGGGATGGTCACGAGGCCTGGTAATAGCGCTGAGAAGCCGTCGACGCCGCCGCGAGCCGGCCGGGTACAGCTGCGCGCCCGCGGAAGGCGGTGCTGGTACCGGCGGCCCTGGCTGGACTGCGCCTCCGCGTGCGGGCTGAGGCGGCGCGCGGTCCGCGGACGACGCCACGCCCCCTCCGGCGTTCGATTGGTCGCCGTGGCCGGGCCGCCGGGCCGCTATTGGTGGAGGCGGAGGCGGGGCTGGCGGGGTGGTTGGCTGGTGGGTGGAGTCGGGCGCAGCCGGTCTCGGGCGCCGAGGGCCTGGGGCCGGGCGGCTGCTGCTACTCCGAGGTCTGGCGCCGGAGGTGGGGGCGGAATGCAGCCTTTTTTTTCTTTCTTTTTTTTTTTTTTTCCTTCAAGGCCGAGACGGCGGCAGTGGTGACTACGTTGATGTCTTTGAAAACCTGCTTAACTGTTTCAGAGCTCTCCAGCTCTCGCCTCCAGATCTGAATTGAACTTAGGGAACTTTTTTTAAGGGGAGTAGGAAGTGCTTGAGGAGCCGGTTTGCACTTTTATGTGTTATTTCCTTTGTGGGTGTATCATTGTTTATGCCCTCCTTTCTCCCCTTAAAAACAAACTACATTTTTATTTACCTTGACCGTCTTTGAGCTGCCCGTTTTCTTGAGACGGAGTCTCGCACTGTCGCCCAGGCTTGAGTGCAGTGGCGCCATCTCAGGTCCCTGAAACCTCTGACCCTCGCATCCAACCAATTCTCCTGTCTCAGCCTCCCAAGCAGCTGGGATTACAGGCGTGCGCCACCCCGCCCGGCTAATTTTTGTATTTTTAGTAGAGAGGGGTATGAACCAGTTAAAGGGTATTGGTTTGGTTGGGTTTTTAAAATTACAATTCAATGAGTATTGATGGCAACAGCACCCCAACTCCACCCACCAGGCAACCACTCCGCCAGCCCCACCTCCACGAATAGCAGCCAGGCCGTGGGTGGCGACCAGTCAAACGCTGGAGTAGGCATGGCGTTGCCCGCGGACCACTGGCCGTCCCAGCAAACTGTTGGAAGGCGGGCACTCAGGTGCCGTCACTCCTGGCCCGCAGGTATGTTGGCCAAGCTGGTCTTGAACTCCTGACCTCAAGTGATCTGCTCGCCTCAGCCTCCCAAAGTGCTGGTAATACAGGATTGAACCACCCTGCCTGGCCTTGAGCTCCTTTTTAAAAATTAAGTTCACTCGCAAAGGATGTGTGCCATTCACCATTGACAAAATCTTAAGACCATTCGATATTACCTGTTGGGATGGTGTTTTTTTGTTTTTGTTTGTTTTGCCTATTAGAGGTTAATCTGTACTGCTAGTATAAATAACATCTCTGCTAATGGACTTGGAAAATTACAAAGCTAAAAAAGCTATTGGCTCAATCATTTGAGCCAATAACATGTCCAGTCACTGTGCTGTAAAATTAAAGAGATTATGAAGATATTTCCTGCAATCAAGGATGGGAAGGTGAAGGACAGCAGCCTTAAAACAAATTCCACACAACACCTGTGTGAGCACTGGGGCAGCAGCGCCTAGAACTGCCGGGAAACTGTTAACTGCAGTCATTTCTATAGCCTTGCTGGAGCAAGGGTCTTGGAGGAAGGTGGGGAGATTAACATCCTGGAATGAGGCATACAGGGTCCAGTGAGCCTTGTCCTGTGGGATTGTGCTCAGATGGAGAGCATAAGGTTTCCTGTTAGCTGGCAAGATTTGTTTCGTTGTCAGAGTTGAACACCTACTGTGCACCAGGCTCTGAAGTCAGTTCTTGAGATACCACCATGAACAAGACAGGGGGGAGTGTGACCCCTCTGTCTTGGACACACAGCCATAAGGGAGATGGCCCTAGGTGCTGCTGCAGAAGCCCCAAGGAGAGGCACTGAACTTGGACGTGGAGGAGTTAGGAAGCAGGAGAGGAGCTAGGACATAACAAGAAGTCAGTTTTCAGAGGTGAAAGCAACGTGAGTCCTCCAGTATGGCTGCAGAGTGTGTGGGTGGGAGGGTGAGAACAGAACAAAACAGCAAGCAGGAGCCCTGTGATTCATGAAAGGCCTTACAACCAGCAGTGTGAACTTTATCCTGAGAGGAATCTGAACCGATTGAAGTATTGGTTTGGTTAGGTTTTTAAAGCTATAATTCAGTAAGTATTAAAGACAAATTTGTGGGATATTCTGTAGTTCCTAATACATTTGTCATTACTTGTATTTTTGTTGTTGTGGTTGGGTTGTTTTTTTTTTTTTGTTTGTTTGTTTTTGAGACAATCTCGCTCTGTCACCCAGGCTGGAGTGCAGTGGCACAATCTCGGCTCACTGCAACCTCCACCTCCCGGGTTCAAGTAATTCTCTGCCTCAGCCTCCTGAGCAGCTGGGATTACAGGTGCCTGCCACTATGCCCGGCTAATTTTTATATTTTTAGCAGAGACGGGGTTACACCATGTTGACCAGGCTGGTCTTGAATTCCTGACCTCATGATCCACCCACCTTGGGCTCCCAAAGTGCTGGGATTACAGGCATGAGCCACCGGCGCCCGACCATTACTTGTATTTTTATTCCTTTTTTTTGTTTCGTTTTTGTTTTTAAGCTAGTAACTTCAAATTTCACAAAACACTGTCTTTCATTGAAGGGTTTTATTCCTGAAAGCAGTGTGATCAAATTTGCAGTTGTTTTTTTTTTTTTTTTTTTTGTGACGGAGTTTCACTCTTGTTACCCAGGCTGGAGTGCAATGGCACGATCTTGGCTCACTGCAACCTCTGCCTCCTGGGTTCAGGCAATTCTCCTGCCTCAGCCTCCTGAGTAGCCGGGACTACAGGCACGCGCCACCATGCCCAGCTAATTTTTTGTATTTTTAGTAGGCACGAGGTTTCACCATGTTGACCAGGATGGTCTCGATCTCTTGACCTCGTGATCCACCCGCCTCGGCCTCCCAAAGTGCTGGGATTACAGGCGTGAGCCACTGCGCCTGGCTAAATTTGCAGCTTTAAAAGATGACTCAGGATGGGCACGCTGGCTCACGCCTGTAATGCTAGCACTTTGGGAGGCAGAGGTGGGTAGATTGCTTTAGTCCAGTTTGAGACCAGCCAGTGCAGCATAGCAAAACCCCATCTCTACAAAAAATTAGCTGAGCATGGTGACACACACCTGTAGTCCCAGCTACTCGTGAGGCTGAGGTGGGAGGATTGCCTAAGCCCCCGAGAGGTCACGGTTGCAGTGAGCCGTGATTTTGCCACTGCACTCCAGCCTGGGTATCAGAGCAAGACCTTGTGTCTAAATAAATAAATAATAACATAAAAGATGCCTCTGGCTGCAGGGTAAAGAGTGGATTAGAGGGGTCATAGAGGTGACAAATGGGTGAAGAAGTGGTAGCCGTCACCAAGGCAAGAGATGACAGGGCCCTTTGCTGGAATAGGTAGGTGGATTTGAGAGCTGTTTAGGAGGTAGAGTGAACAAGTGTGGAGAGGCCAAGTCCAAGGATGGTGCTCAGGTTTCTGGCTGAGAAAAATAGAGAAAGGGCAGGGCATTCACTGGGACAGGGCACCTTGGAGGAGGAGCTGGTTGGAGGTATGGGAGAAAGATGAGTTCAGGTTTGGAAACGTCATCTGAGGTGGCTGTGGGACGTCTGAGTAAGTGGCTGTGTGAGTCTGGAGCTCCAGTGAGAGGCTGAGCGTGTGGAGGGGAGGGTGGAAATGAACCCCTGGAAGTGGATGAAGGGCCTTGGGAGTATAGTTCATTTAAGGGAGAGGCCAGAGAAGTGGGAGGAAAACCAGGGCAGTTTTAACCTCTGAAGCCTAAGGAAGAGAATGTTTCAAGAAGGGAGTGGTGGTGAATAGTAAATGCCCTGACTGGCCTAGTGTCCTGGATTTTCACTTTAGACTGAGCTATATGGTGAAAAGAATATGAACTTTAAGTCCTGGCCAGTGGCTTTCACCCCTGTGATGTAGGACACATCTGTAACCTCTGTGAGCATAAAATGCCGTGAGATTTTTGAGGTGGTGTCTTTAGATGCCTCGCCCAGTGCTACTCGGGGAGCAGAGTGGAGGGTGGGTTGGCAGAGTTGAGGCTAGAGACTGCCACAGAGGTCATCAGGATGGATCAGTGGAGGCCAGACTGGGCAGACTGACGGCTTAGTCAGTGGGACTTGTGAAGCAGCAGGTGTAGTGAGTTTTATGTGTCCCTGAGGTTTCCAACCGGACTCCTGGCATATCCCAGCATGGATTGGAGAAGAGGCAAATGCGTGGAGAACTGTTGACCAAGTTTTCCATTTTGGACATGTTGAATTTAAGATGTCTGTGGGTCATTGAGGGAAGACAGAGATATTAGCAGAGTCGGGGGGAGAGCTGGCCTGGGCTGGAGATGTGCACGTCACCAGCACATGTGTGAAGCCTGGGTGTAGATGAGGTTACTCTGATAGGAGATAAGAGGAGCAGTGCTATGTGAAGGGCAGCCGGAGGGCAGGAGAGAGAAGCCAGAAACTACGAGGAGAGGCGCTCAGCCACATGGCATGCACCAGAGAGGCCAAGTAAGATAAGGACAGGGACAGGAAAGGGGTCCTGGGGTGCAGCAGGTGCCTGGCGAGCCCTCAGAGGCTGCCTTAGTGGAGGAGATTTGGCTGGATAGCACACTGGTGGAGCAGGGGGTGCTGTGGAGGGACTGGCATAGAGCAGGTGGAGATGGTGTAGTGTCAGGCTGGAAAGATGGATGCTTTGGAGCATGTTGCCTGGCAGAAAAGGAGATGCCAGTGGGATTGAGAGGCCCAGTGTGTGAGTAAGCGGGGCTCATTAATGCCACAAAGTCTTGGGGAGACACTAGAAATGCAGAACTCATGGGAATATTGGTTGGCAGAAGAGCAGGACCCCTCTGGGGGAGAGGGAGTCGATGTGGATAGACTTGCTGAATATGCACACCTTACTTGGTTTTACCTGTTGTCTCATCAGACCACCCTTTGGTACTTCAGAAATTATTGGATTGTGGTTGTAAACTCCAGCTTTTAGTGACCTGACATAGTTCCCCCCCACCCCCTGCCTCCAACTGTCTTACGAGGAATTCCAGTTATAACTGGCTCCTTTGGTCGAATTTGAGATGCAGTGTCTTCTCTGTTAAGCAAATACCACAGATCACAAACATTTCAGTTCCAGTTAAGTACTTACGTGATGTGTATAAAGGAAACTTTATATATATTCATCTTAATATTTTAGGGCTACAGTGTGTTATTTAATTAAAAATAATAGTGCAAATGCCACTTAATAAGGGAAGAGAAGATCTTTGAGGATGAATTTGCCAAGTATTTTTGGAGAAGATAGCTATCTATTTATTTTAGGGAAGGGGAGGAGGGGGAAGAAGGTCACTGGTTGGGTTTTAAGTACCTTTTCATAGTCAATTGTGATTCTACTGGATTCTAGGGGTCTGGAAAGAGGATACTGTCCTGTAATGGTAGTACCAGCGCTGGAAGCTGCAGCTCCTGGAATATGCTTAAGGGAGGTGCATTTAGTCTTTGAAGGAGTGCCACCCTTCCAGGTGGTGTCTGTAGATTAGCCAGTGGTATGACAGTGCATGGGTTGAAGAGGAGGCAGCAAAGCCAGGAGAGGCTACTGGTCTGTAAGACTGTGTGATCTGCTGAGGGTCCAGTGAGCTGGATGGTTTAAGAGATGGGGAAAGTGGCCAGGCGCGGTGGCTCATGCCTATATTCCCAGCACTTTGGGAGGCCAAGATGGGCAGATCACCTGTGGTCAGGAGTTTGAGACCAGCCTGACCAATATGGTGAAATTAGTCTCTACTAAATATACAAAAATTAGCCAGGAGTAGTGGCGGGTGCCTGTAGTCCCAGCTACTTGAGAGGCTGAGACAGAAGAATTGCTTGAACCCAAGAGGCGGAGGTTGCAGTGAGCCGAGATCACGCCACTGCACTATAGCCTGGGCGACAGAGTGAGATTCCATCTTAAAAAAAAAGAGAGAGAGAGAAACAGGAAGTTTTAAATGAAAGAAATACTAGATTCTACAGGAAGTGGCACTTATATTTTACACAGTGGTGAGCTTAAGGTTTCATTTGCTTTGGCATGGTTCTATAAATATCTACAGGTTCTACAGCCAAGGGAGCCTGCAAATCAGCCTTTCCAAGTGAAAGCACTACACTGAATTGACTTTGCTTTTGCAGAGGTAGGAAGATGACTTTTTGAGTCAGAACAAATAGGGAAGTGTGGTCAGTGGCATGGAAGTAGTTTTGCTCCCACTGAGCAGCATGCCTACCAGCAGTACTAAGACCAGAGATACCTCTTGCAGCACATAGTGTCCTCAGCAACATTCTGGTATTTTTAATTTCTGTCTGGCTATGCTTTTCCCCTCTCCGAGGTATGACGATAACATGAGGCACCATCAGGTAAGTTTCTAAGAGACATTATAAAGGAATTCACTGGTCAGGTGTGGAGAAAGGTGAGGCTCACACAGGCAGAGCTGCTGACACAGTATTGTCTTGTCCTGCAGTTACATCCGGTGATCAAGGCTTTCCTGTGCGGCTCCATCAGTGGGACCTGCTCTACCCTCCTTTTCCAGCCCCTGGATCTCCTTAAAACACGACTGCAAACTCTCCAGCCTTCAGATCATGGGTAGGCCCTGCATTACATTGGGGAACTGATTTCAGCAACTTCTCAGACACAGGAGCATCTTTACTGTGTTAAGTCAACTTCCATTCCGTTGGATGTTCAGGGACACAGACCACGCCCAACTTTCATATGTTCTGTGAATTTTTATATTTGACATTTCTTATTAATTAAATGGGGTCCTTTCCTGAGCCACTTCCTGGAATCTGCCTCAGTGACATTTACACTTTATTGTGTTAGCTTGTGATGTTAACCATATTGTCTGGCATGAGTGTAGCAGGTGATTTTCTGGAAATAACATCAATATTGTCTGTTTTTGTTTTTGTTTGTTTGTTTTTTGAGGCAGAGTCTCAACCTCTTGCCCAGGCTGGAGTGCAGTAGTACCATCTTGGCTTACTGCAATCTCTGCCTCCCAGGTTCAAGTGATTCTCCTGCCTCAGCCTTCAGAGAAGCTGGGATTACAGGCACACGCCACCATACCCAGCTAATTTTTGTGTTTTGGGTAGAGATGGGGTTTCTGGCCTCAACCTTCTGGCCTCGAGTGATCTGCCCGCCTCAGCTTCCCAAAGTGCTAGGATTACAGGTGTGAGACACTGCACCCGGCCTGTATTGTCTGTTTTGTGCCCTGATATTGAGCTCTGTGCTGTGGGAAGGATACAAAATGTACATAAAATGGGAGGTAATCCCACTGCTTGCAGTGTAAATAGATAAGCAAATACGTGTGTGCCAACCTATGAACACATAGTAAGTCAGAGTACCTCCAACGTGTGCTGTAGAGATTGTTAAGTGTCCTAGAAATGAGTCTATAAAGGAAGTCTTTGGAGAATTGTTTTATGAGGAAGTGATCCAAGTGATTTTTTTCTTCCCTATCTCCATTTTGTCTGCTTTCAGATCTGGACGTGTCGGGATGTTGGCTGTGCTCTTGAAGGTGGTTCGCACAGAGAGTCTTCTGGGCCTTTGGAAAGGGATGTCCCCTGTAAGCTGCTATCTGGGTCTAGGTTCTCTTGCACACACTCCTTGATAACCTGCTGTTTCTCATCCACTTACCAGCTCTTAAGGATGTGTGAGAGTAAGAAGCAGTGGACGTCACTACATCGTCTTCCTACCCATCTCTCATGCTACCACCAACTTGTTTGCAGGCTCAGGGAAATGTTCCATCTGCACATTATGCTTTGATGTGACTGATTAGTGCAGCATAGTCTTTACAGCAGAAGTTCTAGTGCCCCACCTGTCCTTGCCCTTATCACTTCAGTGAAAGTGGGATGGGGCCTCCAACCAGCATTTCTTTGCTCAAAGGCTTTTTTTCTGGTCTAAGGGACTCACTTTACTGGAAGTGCCAAGGAATTAGTGCCCAACCCAAACCCGAATCAGAAATACATATACTGATTTCTCTAATTATCCCAACAATGTACTTCAGAGTAATTTTGTGTTTTGTTTTCAAGAGTATAGGCCAGTTATACAACCCTGTGGGTTTCTGTGCAGTTCCTTTGCGATTAGATTTAGTTCTACATTTTTAGCAAGAGGACCACATAAGTGAAGTTGATTTTTCACCCACAGCAGTCCGCAACCACTGAAAGACGAGAGTTGATGTTTAAAAATCCCATGTCCCTCCTTGTTCAGGGAGAGGGATAACTCTGAGGTGTGTTCTACACTGATTCCCAGAGTTCCCCAAAGGGATTAGGCTGCCCACAGCAGTAACTGGTTTTATAACACACCTTTTAGTGACTGCCTTCTCTCCTACCTTATGTCCCCCACTTCCCTATTGGTGTTCCTTCCACACCTTAAACAAAGTACGTGCATACAAGTCATCTTGGGGTCTTTTGGGAAAACCCAGCTGAGACAATACTTAAAGTGTCGGGTCTTCGATTTTCTTTTCTCTGTGCCCTTTTCTGCAGTCCATTGTGAGATGTGTCCCTGGCGTTGGAATCTACTTTGGCACTCTCTACTCATTGAAGCAGTATTTCTTGCGAGGCCATCCCCCTACTGCCCTGGAGTCGATCATGCTGGGGGTGGGCTCTCGCTCAGTTGCGGGGGTCTGCATGTCACCTATCACTGTAATCAAGACTCGCTACGAGGTGAGTTCAACTGCTTTTGGGCCTCAGGATAGTTCAGTTCAGCAACTGGGCTCTTGGGGAGTGACCACTGATGTCAACTCCTGATTTATAATCAACACAGTCTGATGTGGTCAGCCAAGCCATATGTGAACTAGAGCCCATGGTTTCCTGGTAATGCCCCATAACCTGCAGTCTGCTTGTTCAGTGCTCAAATGCAGGGCCTCCATGCAAGTCATTGGTTCTGTGCTCTCTTTGCAGAGTGGGAAATATGGCTATGAGAGTATCTGTGCCGCGCTGAGGAGCATCTATCGCAGCGAGGGGCACCGGGGCCTCTTCAGTGGCCTGACAGCAACTCTCCTTCGAGATGCACCCTTTTCAGGAATCTACCTGATGTTTTACAACCAGACCAAAAACATAGTGCCCCACGGTAGGGATAAAGGAAGGTGTGGGGAAGAGCTATTCTTGAGATTTCAGATCCTTACCATTTTCTCTGGGTTATAAGACTATTTGTTTCTCTTAGCAGAGTGTTAGGAACTGAGCCATATTATGATTATGTTAGGAACTGGGATGCAAAGGTGGATGTGACAGACTTGGTCCCTGCCCTTTGGAGTTTACATCCTATTAAAGAAAACAGTATTTACACTACTATAATTTGGGGGGTGAAAATAGGGTGAGTGAGAGGGAAATAAAGCATGCTCTGCAGAGTTCTTGCAACAATACTTAGCAAATTTGATCTGAAGATTGCTGGGACCCATCCGAGGTCTGTTAGATGAGAAACGCTGGGGTGTAACCTATGAATCTGTATTTTTCAAGAAGCACTTGATGTGATTCTTGTTAAAGTCTGGGAAACAGTAATAAGTTAGGAGTTTGAAGAAAAATAATATTTTCATCTCCCTTGCTGTTCCCAGTTAGCATGGTCTTGAGCCCTCCATTTAGGTGGAGATGTAGGTGCCACACTGCAGGCACGGGGGGAGGCCCACCCCACCCCACCCCACACACCAGTTAGCTTATGTTCACGTTAGGCCAGACATGGACAGAATTGGTGGGCAGTAAACATTGACCCGAGCAGAACAAAGTAGTGCTAGAAACACACCCATAGAGTGAACCTGCATGCAGTAAGGTGTCTATGGATAATCTCAGCGAGTTAAGACCGGCCTGGCCAACATGGTGAAACCATGTCTCTACTAAAGATACCAAAAATTAGCCAGGTGTGGTGGTGGGCACCTGTAATCCCAGCTACTCAGGAGGCTGAGGCAGAATTACTTGAACCTGGAAAGTGGAGGTTGCAGTGAGCTGAGATCACACCACTGCACTCCAGCCTGGCAATGGGGCGAGACTGTCTCAAAAAATAAAAAATAAAAATTCTGAGGCCTATTGCTTCTTGGCCTTTTGGCTAAGATCAAGCGTGAAAATTTCTGAGGCCTGGTGCGATGGCTCACACCTGTAATCTCAGCACTTTGGGAGGCCAAGGTGGATGGATCTCTTAAGGCCAGGAGTTTGAGACCAGCCTGGCCAATGTTGCAAAACCTGGTCTCTACTAAAAATACAAAAATTAGCTGGGCATGGGTGGCACATGCCTGTAATCCCAGCTGCTTGGGAGGCTGAGGCATGATAATTGCTTGAGCCTGGGAGGTAGTGGAGGTTGCAATGAGCTGAGATTATGCCACTGCACTCCAGCCTGGGTGACAAAGCAAGACTCCCTCTCAAAAAAAAAAAAAATTGATCTGCTATTTGGAAATAAACTTACAAAAAAGCCACAAGAATAGTACCACGTGATGCCCTTTTTAGTACCTCAGTGTCTATTTCCAACAAATAAGGACATCCTGTCATATAACCATCTTATGAAATTCAGAAAGTTTAAACCAGATAATTTTTTTTTTTGGAGACAGTCTTGCTTTGTTACCCAGGCTGGAGTGCAGCAGTGTGATCTCAGTTCACTGGAACCTCATCCTCCCAGGTTCAAGCAATTTGTGTGCCTCAGCCTCTGGAGTAGCTGGGATTACAGGTGCATGCCACCGCGCCCGGCTATTTTTGTATTTTTAATAGAGACAGGGTTTCACCATGTTGCCCAGGTTCAAGTGATCCTCCCACCTCGGCCTCCCAAAGCGTTGAGATTATAGGCATGTAGCCCAATTCTTTAACCTCTAGTCTGTACTCTGATGTCTCTGTTTGTCCCAGTAATGTACTTCGTAGTAATCTTGTGTTTTATCTTCAAGAGTATAGGCCAATTACATACCTCATTGTGGGTTTATCTGCAGTTTCTTCATGATTAGATTTTTAGCAAGAGAACCACATTCCTCACTGACTTGTATCAGGAGGGTCATGGCATCAATTTGACCCATTATGAGTGATAGTAACACTTTATCACTTGGATAAGATACTGACAGGTATCTTCCTTGAAAACTCACCTGTTTTTCCCCTTATAATGTCTAAGTATCTTTGTGGGAAGGTAACTTTGAATCTATATAAACATCCTGTTTCTTTTCCCCACACATTTTAACATCAGGTAATGATTCTTGCCTGAGTCAATTATTGTGATGGTGTTTTGAAAAAGGTGCTTTTCTATCTCTAGCATTCCATCTACATATACTTACTAGTTGCACCTTTTAAGTTTTTGATTCTTAGCCTTATTTGAATTCATACCTTTCTTGGTTTGAGGAAGAATTAGTGGGCAACTTGCACTGACCTTTATGTGATGAACGTATGATCTATAATCACGTTACCCTTGTTCTATTTCAGACCAGGTGGATGCAACCCTTATTCCTATTACAAATTTCAGCTGTGGGATATTTGCTGGTATTCTGGCTTCACTGGTAACTCAACCTGCAGATGTTATCAAAACTCATATGCAGCTTTACCCACTGAAGTTTCAATGGATTTGCCAGACAGTGACATTTATTTTCAAAGTAAGACTATAGAATAAGTACTGGTTCTTGTGGTATTTAAGGATCTCTTTCTAGAGCAGTAGTTCTTACTCTTCATTCACATTAAAGTCTCCTTTAGGCCTAAAGAGTTTTAAACCCCCAAGCCCAGGTTAAAATCTAGGCCAACTATATCAGAATGACTAGGGGCATGAAACCCCAGCTTTTTTTTTTTTTAATGTTCCCCAGTGATTTTAATATGTTTTAAGGTTGAGAACCACAAAACTGGTATTTTTTGGGGGGTGGAGACATTTACATTAAGAACAACTGTGATATCTGTTAAACTTGCAAATTGCTGATCTCTACCCCAAACTTATTGAATCAGGAAATCTGGGTGAAATTAGTACGCTAATTGAGGGCCGAGGGTAAAATACTATATAGTCAGAGGGGAAAAAAACACAAACACATTATTTTATTCTAGCAGTTTGCTTTAATATATAGGTGTCCAGTGTTGTGGTTTCCCTGGGCCACACTGGAAGAAGAATTGTCTTGGGCCACATATAAAATATACTAACACTAACGATATCTCATGAGCTAAAGAAAAAATGTCACCAAAAAAAAAAAAAAATCTCATAATGTTTTAAGAAAGTTTACAAATTTGTGTTAGGCTGCATTTGTGGGCTGAAGAAGTTGGACAAGCTTGCTCTAATATAAATGAACAAATGGTATTACTGAAGATAAAAAGTACAGTAGAGACTGGGTGTGGTGGCTCATGCTGGTAATCCCAGCACTGTAGGAAGCTGAAGCAGGAAGATCCCTCAAGCCCAGGAGTTCAAGACCAGCTTGGGCAATATAAGGAGACCTCTCTATTTAAGTTTAAAAGAAAATTACAGTAGATGAATAGTGCACTAAGTACTATTTATAAGCCAGTGGGTTGGCTCTTTTAGAACACATTATCACAAAGCAGATAATCTTGCTAAAGGTAAATGTGAATTTGTGTTTTTATCTCTATATCTAAAATCATAAAGTTTTAAAATAATATTTTCTTTAGTATATGTGAAGCTCAGATTATGAGGGAGGAGGAAGGGGCGTTTTGTCTTTAATTCATATGAAGATAGGGCCACAAAGGGCATACAGTGAATCACAAAAAGATACTCCTTCCTGATAGACAAATAACAAGAAGGCGCCTTTTCCTTCAGCCTGGATCCAGGATCCAGGGCTTGGCAAGCAGGTCTCTGCCTGGATTTCATTTGCTACTTGGCACTTAGTGCTTCTGTACAGTATACAAACTGCACAACTACATAGCAGCCCTGCATAAAGATTTTCAGCTAAGAAACTCCTCTAGACAGCAGGCCTAAAAAGGTAAGTACAGCAACTACAAAAAAATAAAAAAAAGGGTTTTTAAGTTCACTGGTTGTGTTCTTGGACCCATTATTCATAATTTGGGCATGAAGTCTTAAACATGGAGTAGCAGAGACCCTCACTCTGGTACCAAGTGGATAATTAATTGTATTGCTGCTTTGCTTCCAGAGTTCTGACGTTTATTTTCACCACAGGACTATGGACTACGTGGCTTCTTCCAAGGTGGCTTCCCCCGGGCCCTCCGCAGAGCTCTGATGGCAGCAATGGCGTGGACAGTGTATGAAGAGATGATGGCCAAAATGGGCCTGAAGTCCTGACCAAGAGAGTCCTGGGAAAGGGTGACACCTGTTGCCCTGCTTGGTTTCTGCCGAGGGCTGCTGCTTCTCACTACCTGCAGTAAGGAAGTCCTACCTGGAAAGCCAGGCAGAAATTGTGTTGCCTTTGCCTTTGGTAACCCCTTTAAGGAGAAAATAGTTGGACCTGATTTGAGCCTTCAGAATCTCCAAAAGAGGAGTCACTAATACATACAGCACACTGGGTAGTCAGGAGAGAGTTTTGCATACCCTCAGAGGCTACTCGGAGAGGCGTTTTCTGAGGAGAGCTCTGTCAGGTGGCAGCGCTTCAGCCCCCCACCTACACCACAGGGTCTCCTTGGGTACATTCTTGCGCAAGTAATCGCAAAGCCAGAGAAGCTATAAGCTGCCTGCTGGGCCTGAGGAGCTCCAGCCAGGGACGACTGGATGTGAGGAGAGGAGTCACTGTCACCAGGTCACAGACTGAGGTGATGGCAGGATGAGGAGGAACAGATGCCCTTTTTAAATTGCTTCTCAGTCCACTTCTCAGAGGCTCTGGAGAACAGGACAGTGGCTTTCTAGCCTCTGAATGTCCAAATAAAATTTTCTGGTCTAGGCCCCTGTACTGTTTTACCTCTAAATTCTGGCATTTCTTTTTTTCTGTAATTAAAGTGCTTTATTTATTGAACTTTATCATTGAAAGCTGTTTGGAAAACCTAAAAGATGTTGTCATACTTCTTTTTTCCTTACTTGTGCCTTGTTAAAAAAGACTGAACCCTTTTCTAACATAGTTTTAGGGTAGTTGGTTCTTGACCTATGTAGGTCCCTAAAACCTAATTAAAAAAAAAAAATAGCTTTACCGAATGATGCTGTACCATCACTATCAATCAGTTTGAGAACATTTTTATTCCCCAAACAGATCTCATGCCATTTGTAATTAATCCTCATTCCCAACCCCAGGCCACCACTGATGTACTTTCTGTCTTATTAGCCTTTTCTGGATACTTTGTATAAATCCAGTCTGTAGGGTGGGTGGAGTGGCTCATGCCTGTAACCCCTGCACTTTGGGAGGCCAAGGTGGGCAGATCACATGAGGTCAGGAGTTCAAGACCAGCCTGGCCAAGATGGTAAACCCGTCTCTACGAAAAATACAAAAATGAGTTAGGTGTGGTGGCACGCGCCTGTAATTCCAGCTACTTGGGAAGCTGAGGCACAAGAATCACTTGAACCCAGGAGGCAGAGGTTGCAGTGAGCCAAAACTGTGCCACTACACTCCAGCCTGGGTGACAGAGTGAGATGCTGTCTCAAAAAACAAACAAAAAAAAAGTGACTATACCATTTTACATTCTCAGCCACAGTATATGAGAGTTCTAATTTCTCCACATCCTTGTCAACACTTGTTACTGTTTCTTTTATAGCTATTATTGTTGGGTACTCAAATCTTTTCTTTAAAATTCAGTCAAGATGGCTGAGTGCAGTGGCTCGTGCCTGTAATTCTAGCACTTTGGGAGGCTGAAGCAGGTGGAACATTTGAGGCCAGGAGTTCAAGACCAGTCTGGCCAAAACAGCAAAACCCCATCTCTATTAAAAATACAAAAATTAGCCGGGCGCAGTGGCTCAAGCCTGTAATCCCAGCACTTTGGGAGGCTGAGGCGGGTGGATCACGAGGTCAAGAGATCGAGACCATCCTGGTCAACATGGTGAAACCCCGTCTCTACTAAAAATACAAAAAATTAGCTGGGCATGGTGGCACGTGCCTGTAATCCCAGCTACTCAGGAGGCTGAGGCAGGAGAATTGCCTGAACCCAGGAGGCGGAGGTTGCGGTGAGCCGAGATTGCGCCATTGCACTCCAGCTGGGTAACAAGAGCGAGACTCCGTCTCTAAAAAAAAAAAAAAAAAAATACAAAAATTAGCCAGCATCCTGGGGCACGACTGTAATCCCAGCTACTCAGGAGGCTGAGGCAGGAGAATCACTTGAACCCGGGAGGTGTAGGTTGCAGGTCATGCCACTGCACTCCAGCCTGGATGACAGAATAGGACTCTATCTCAGGAAAAAGAAAAAAAAATCATTAACAGCCATTACTTATGCAAGAAGCAAAGTGGGCGGATATTTTGTTCACCTGGTTAAGAACATGGGCTCTAATCCAGGCAGCCCAGGTTGAAAGCTACTCACTCTCCACATACTTAGGCATGGTACTGAAATGGTGCCTAGGAAATGGGATTAGTTTGAGTTTTTTTGAGGGGATGGGGAACAAAGTCTCTCTCTGTCGCCCAGGCTGGAGTGCAATGGCATGATCTCAGCTCGCTGCAACCTCCACCTCCTGGGTTCAAGCAATTCTCCCACCTCAGGTTTCTGGGTGGCTGGGACTACAGGCGCATGTCACCGTGCCCAGCTAATCTTTAATATTTTGAGCAGAGAGGGGGTTTCACCATGTTGGCCAGACTGGTCTTGAGCTCCTGACCTCGAGGGATCCGCCCACCTTGGCCTTCCAAAGTGCTGGGATTACAGGCGTGAGCCACGGCGCCCAGCCAGAAATGGGGCTAGCAATGTTTCCTGCCTCCTCAGGTGGTGGTGAGAGTTAAGGAATAAATGTTCCTGGGGTGTGGTATTAGCTTCATCGGACAGCCACGACAAATTACCACAGACTGAATGGTTTATAATGCTCAATCTGGAGGCCGGAGGTCTGAAATCAATGTGTCAGCGCTGCACTCTCTGGAGGCTCCAGGGGAGTCATGATTTGCCTGTTCGACCTTCTAGTGGTGGCTGGCGTTCCTTGGCTTTTAAGTACATCACTTCAATCTCTGCCTCTGTCTTCACATACCTTTTCCCTTGTGTATCTGTTTCTATGTCCAACTGTCTCTCTTAAGGACACCAGGTATTGGTTTAGGGCTCATCCTAATCCAGTATGACCTCATTTTAATTTGATCACATCTGTTAGATCCTATTTCCAAATAGGGTCACATTCTCAGTATTAGGGGTTAGAATGCCAACATTTCTTTTGTGGGGACACACCCGTAACAGATTAAGTTTACTCTATGTGTAAGTTAAAATCAGTTTATACTTTAGGTTTTAGGTTAAAACACCATATTTAAAATAGTAATTTGGGAAGGGGTGTGGGAGAGGATGAAGCAGAGTCCTAATTTTACAGTGGCACCCACGCCTCCAGTGCTGTGACCCGTAAGTTGTGAGGCCTCATGCTGTGGGAAGCAGGGGAGAATTCAGGATGGGAAAGGAGAGAAGGGAAGGACAGTTAGATGGAGTGGCTGCCTCCTAAGAACTTAGACTCTGGAGCAGGTGTTCCATGTCCTTTGCCTCCTCAGCTTCCTTTGACCCTCATCCTGAGCGCAAGGAAGCTAATGCCAGTGAGGCCTCTTAGGGAGGAGGGGCAGAAATAAGACCAAGAGAGATGGGCTTCTTCCCAATGCAAATTTCCTGGCCTTAGGTTGGCAGGTGAATTTCGGCCACCAGATTCCCCTCACATTTTCTTCATTTGTTTTTTAGGGGAGCAAACAAACATGATAAATCAGGAGAAGTCATCTAGTTTTCTCTAAACATGGGGTAGAAAATTTGTCCTGTGAATCCCGACTCCCATGGCAAGTAGCCTGTTTTTTCCTGTCTCACAGTCTCTGTATTAAAGCTCGGAAAGGAACTGGCCAGTGAGTGTGGAAACATTGCCCATTGCCCCTTTTTTTTTTTTAATGGTTCCTTCTTGGCTGTCTTAGACTTAAAGCACTTAGAGGCAGAGCTCTATGGGAGGAAAATAGTCTTCTGGTGACTAAAGATAAGGCAGTGCAGGGCTAGAGCCAAAAGACACAGAAGCAAAGGTTTCAAGCTGCATTACACTCGCTTTCTAAGAATACATGATTATGAAATCTTTCAAGCCATCACAATAGGAGAGCCAACGGCCCACTAGCCCTTCCTTCATTCATATCGCTCAGATGGAGCAATTGCCAAGATTTGGCCACGCCTGCTTCTCTCTCCCAACTCTGCCCCCTGCCCCCCACCCTTTTTCTTTTATGATGCTTTTAGAGGCAGACCCCAGACATCACATCATTTCACCCTTGCATACTTCAAAATACACCTCTAAAAATTACAGACTTTTTTTTTAACATAAGTACAATGTCATTACCCCACCTGGAAAATTTTAACACATTTTTTGCATATCATCCATATTCATATTTCCCAGATTATCTCAAAAATTATTTTTTAGCGTTGGTTTATTTCAATCAAAATTCAAACAAGGTCCACACAAGGCATTTAGTTTTTTATTATGTTTTAAAGACGGTCTTGTTCTGTCACCCAGGATGCAGTGCAGTGGGACGATCATGGCTCACTGCAACCTTGACCTCCCTAGGCTCAAGCAATCCTCCCACCTCAGCCTCCCAAGTAGCTGGGACTACAAGTGCACGCCACCACACTGAGCCACTTTCTAAAAAATTTTTTTGCAGAGACAAGATCTCACAATGTTGCCCAGGCTGGTCTCAAACTCCTAGCCTCAAGTGATTCTCCTGTCTCAGCCTTCCAAAGGATTGGGATTGCAGTTGTGGGCCACCACACTTTGCTGGCAGTTGGTTTTAAAAATCTCTAGTCTTGGCCGAGTGCAGTGGCTCATGCCTATAATCCCAGCACTTTGGGAGGCAGAGGCAGGTGGTTCACAAGGTCAGGAGTGCAAGATCAGCCTGGACAACATGGTGAAACCCTATATACTAAAAAAAAAAAAAAATACAAAAAAAAAAAATCTCTAGGCTGGGGGCAGTGGCTCATGCCTGTAGGTCCAGCCCTTTGGGAAGGCAAGGCTGACGGGTCGCTTGAGCTCAGCAATTCAAGACCAGCCTAGGCAACATAGTCAAATCCTGTCTCTACATAAAGATTTAAAAATTAGCCAGGCATGGTGAGGTGCATCTGTAGTTCCAGCTGCTCAGAAGGCTGAGGCAGGAGAATCACTTAAGCCCTGAAAGTCAAGGCTGCACTGAGCTGTGATCAGGCCACTGCACTCCAGGCCAAGGTTACAGAGAAAGGCCCTATCTCAAAAAACAAAAACAAAACCCTCTTTGTTCCAGGACACCACCCATTCTCCCCACTTTTTTTGTCCTACATTGTCTTTGTAGGGGCTGAGGAGATGGAGGAACAAGATGACCTGAGAGGAACCTCAATTCTGAAGTAATGTCTAAGGCCTCTTTAGGCATATCCAAGGGCCAGTCTTTGAGGGAACGCTTTCTCAGCCCCAGTATCCTGTAAAATGTCCCATTTTCTGAATTTTGTTTCCTGATGGTTTTAGCTCATTCCTCTGTTTCACGTATGTTCTATAAACAGGATGTTAGCTTGGATGGCTTGACTGTTTAGGTCTATCCAATTTCTTAGGCGGAGGAAAGACCAGAGCTACAGATACTAAACAGCGGAAAGTCTGAAAAGGTATAAGAGGGTTTCTCACTTGGCAAATTTGTGAGTGCAAATGAAACATTCTATTCACTTCATTCAGTTGCTTATTCCCAAGCGAAATGAGGAGAGGCTGAAATTTCTTTAACCAGCAGTTAGAAAGGATAAATAATTTTGAGGCAAACTAAGGTTACAGTGAGTCATTTCTGAGGGCCCAATCAAAACAGGGAACCAAGCAGTGACTCTGGGAGGTTGCAAAACTGAAATCTGCTCACCAAAGTTATGCCTTACGCCCTTTCCACATACTCCTGGCTGAGCCGTGTGCATTTATAACTTGTTGCTGG